CTTAGTCCGATAACTTTTCTTTCCAGTTTCGAAAAGGTAAAAACTTATTCGTATTCGATGTTTATACCAAACTGGACTAATTTAAAATGGTTAAGTACGTTATAAGTGTAGGTGAGTCAATTGCATATTAATTAAGAATAGTTTAATGATAAAAGCGTATATATTCACATGTGTCATCTATTTATTTGGTCGGTATAAACACTAGGTAGGGTAAGTTACTTTTGTTATCAAAATCTTGTTATCTTAGCGAAGTTTTATGTTGGGATTAACCTGCTCAAATACCAGAACCGAAAGACTTGGTTAATTTAATTGTCCATTTAGAAATTTTGGTTGGACAGATGTAGCACATCCAAATATGCACATGACAAAATAGAGAGGACTTGGAATATGTTTAAAAGTAGACAAATATCTTGCCTTTATTTGCTCTTTACATGATAGTTTAGGTATTCTTAGAAATTAGCTGCATCTTTCTTTTCAAAAGTGAACATTTATAACGAACACAATAATACGTGAGTAACTAGTACAATCACATCTCTTAACAACATTCTTATATAATAATACTTTGCTATAAAAATTAAGTTTTTTCGGAATCAATTTTTATGTTATATTATAATATATGTTTACTATAACAACACTTCGCTATAACATTCAAAAATATTCAAAACAAACAAGTCTGTTATAAAGATATTTGACTGTATAGTACTCCGTATAAGATATCTGGATTAAAGAGAGCAGATATTTTGTTTCCTGGGAGATATTTTGTAAGAATCTCATCTCATCCTAAGAACAAAAGCAGATGTCACGTAGTGCTAGTTTATTGGTTAGTATTTGTGACTGCATCAGATTCTAAGGGGAAAAAGATAAAGGACCAATAAATAAGTAGCAGTACATTCTTGTCAAAATTCACTACAAAATTAGACGGTCTGATTTATGACATAGGAAAATAAGCTGCTGAAATAAAAATGTGTACATATATAGAGGAAGTGCCTATTTAGGAAGCATTGAAATTAGCTATAAAGGCGAAAAAGAAAAGATCTTGCGTTAAAAAACAACGAATATCCCTAAAATAGACCAACAAAAGCAAGCACTTAATTTCAAAAAATGACAAGGCCAAGAAGATAATGAATATGCGTTTTGTGCATTGATTGTGTATTATTTTTTACACTATCAAGTTAAATTACATGTTCAGGAGCTGTAATTTTTAAAACTAATTATAATATGATATCCTTAAAATAACATATAATAGATTTAGTTATTCCGATGAAGTAAAGATTTATTACACTATCAACTTAAATCGAAAAATTCTAAGTTTATCACATTTATTCCAAAGGGGAAACTAGCGACTCCTTCAATCTCTATCGCTCTCTCAATATATCTGGCGCGTATATAACTTAAACCCAAAGATAAAAGATCACATATTTTTATGTAAAGGCACCCAAAAAACAAAATATTCCTCTTAGAAAAGTGATGTACTTATCCTGGAGCTTTTTACAACTAGAAAGCTTTAGAAGGCTACACATAATTAGTGAACCAAAAAGAATATAGGAGTCGAGCTAAGAAAAAGATGCGGCCATTATAGATTATATATGATCTGCAGTTAAATTATCTTAATATTAATGCAAATTTGTTTGCAAAAATATAGGAATCCAAATAAAGATAACATCATGATTAATGTAATTATGTCTTCTTACAGACATATGAATTATGCTCTACTTTTGGTCAAAATAACAGCAAAAGGAAGAAATTAACAAAAACTGAAAATAAAAGGAGTTTCAATGTAATGGTGATGGTATGGGGAGGGTTGTCTTTAATATTACCTGTATACTTGAGTCAAGAAGTGCGGGTCAATTTGAACTAAATAATGTGTTATAACCTAACTCAGTATTTATATATAGATTATACACGGCTATCCACATATTATGTATGAATTATCCATATCTTATATTTCCAACCAGTTATTTTTAGTTTAAACAAGTGGTGGCGGCTATTTGAGTTAATTCTTTATGTAGGCAGGGAATATAGGGTTTTTTTCAATTTTAGCTCGCGCCAGAAATTATTTACATTCGGTAACCGAAAAAGTGTTTAAAATTTGTATATAATTTTGGTATATAACATACATAATGTTTGATATACAAAAAATATATATTTTTTCGGCTATTATTTTGAGAGCGGCTATAAAGTACCATTTTCCCGGGAATTATATATGCACAACCAAATCTACTCAAACTTAGGGGGGTTGATGTGTAATATTCTAATAGGCTGAATTTGACATCCCTGATCGTCGAAAAAAATATCGTAAATGATAACATTAATTAGATCGATAGATACTGTAGTAGTGTAATTCTTTTGTTTTGTGTTTCCCTAGCAAAAATAATAGGGAATATCCATTTCAATTGCATGCTGCATGCACTTGCAGTCCCGGTATCTTTTTATAACAAAGATAAGATAGGAATTTTGAGAAATTTAGTGCCAAATATAGTAACTTCACTACACTGCTAGGGGTGTACAAACCGAACCGGAAAACCGCACCAAACCGAAAAGTCAAACCAAACCGATTAAAAAACCCGACTAGGTTTGGTTTGATTTGGTTTGGTATTGAGTAAAAAAAACCGAACCAAACCGACATATAAATATATAATTTTTATATATACTTTTAAGACTTTATATAGAATTTTCTTTATAAAAATTCTAGAAATATTTGGGATTCTCTTATAGAATGTAATATTTAATAGAATATGAAGTACTCCATTTTTACTAACCTTAAAAAATGGGTTATATGATCACTTTCTTATCAAGTGTTACTGAAATGCGTCAATTTCTTTGTTCTTCCTTGTTGATATATCAAGATTTATTAAATTCTTATATTTTTTCTTTCAAATTGGAAGTGGTATTTTGATAATCTAAAATTAAATAGAATTTATCATTAATTAGGTATCATGTTGATTTTTATGTTTAATTATTGAATTCATTTAACCTTATAAGTGTACATCAACGAAAAATTATTGTCAGGGGACTAAAAAATAACTATCATGTGTTATTAACAAAATACTACCATAAAAATATTTAAATAGATCATATGTTTGTCAAGTTTTTCAATTTTTACTAAACATATATTTACTTATAAAAATTTTAATAAAGTAAGATTAAAATAATATTCACGTAACATAAAAATCCGGAAAACCCAAAAAACTCGACAAAACCGAACCAATCCAATCTGATATAGTTAGTTTGGTTTGATTTTAATAAAAACCGAACCAGTCCATGTACACCCCTACTTATAGCATATCATTTCTTCATATTCATAGGCACACAAATATTTCAACTACGTTGGGATGCGAGCCAAAATTGACCGGCTAGTCTATCATTTTCATCACGAAAGCTCCGTCTTTGTTATAAATAAAGTCATCTTCATCCATTAATATAAACATGAATATTTTACTTCATTTATATTTGGACAATTAATAATAATAGGATAAGAAAAATATAAAAGATATATCTAGCTGTTTTGGCGGGAACTTTGTAAAGTCGATTGAAATGAGAATTTTACGTCCATGAGGTCTTGTCCTTTGATTTGGTCTTTTCAGATGACAACCGCCGTTTATATGACGGTAGCTTCTTTTTTCTTTTCAAATAAAAATAAAAAGGAAGGTTACGCCGTCACGGAACCGAATGGAGGGGAACAGATGATAGGGACACGGCGTGAAGTGGAACGGTGAATCAGAACGTGCGGCGATTATTGCTACAGAATTTGTCAGCAAAGATTCAGATTCAATATCAATCTTACTTTGCTTCGCTTAGACGAACTTAAGTGGGCGTTTGGACGTAAGAATTGTAAAGTAAAAAAAAATTAAATGAAAATGATATTTGTAAGTTAGAGTCGTGTTTGGATATAAATACAATTTTGGGCTGTTTTTGAGAGTGATTTGAAGTAAATTTTGAAAAATAGCCTTTTGAAGTTTTTCTTGAAAAACTCCGAAATTCATCTTCAAGTGAAAATTGAAGGTTTCATGGCCAAATGTTGATTTAAAAACAAAAGAATTTTTTTTCAAAAAAAGTGAACATTTTTGTATGAAGCCTAAGTGGGCGTTTTGGACATAAGAATTGTAAAATTTCAAAAAGTGAAAAAAAAATTTAAGTGAAAATGTTATTTGAAAATTAGAGTTGTCTTTGGGCATGAATATAATTTTGGGTTGTTTTTGACGTTTTTGCAAGTGATCTGAGTGAAAAATTTTAGAAAAAANATTATTGTCAGTGGACTAAAAAATAACTATCATGTGTTATTAACAAAATACTACCATAAAAATATTTATCATATGTTTGTCAAGTTTTTCAATTTTTACTAAACATATATTTACTTATAAAATTTTTAACAAAGTAAGATTAAAATAATATTCACATAACAAAAAAATCCGGAAAACCCGAAAAACCCGACAAAACTGAACCAATCCAACCCGATATAGTTGGTTTGGTTTGGTTTTAATAAAAACCGAACCAACCCGGTCCATGTACACCCCTATACACTGCATATAGTCGTAGTTTTGTCAACTCGAAAGCTTAATTAGCTAGTATGATTTGACTTAGCACTCAGGGTTGTGGTGAGTCGTATAAGATCTTTTTACCTTTAAGAGAGGTCTGGGGTTCGAGTTCTCGGAACTTTAGCACTTCCCCTTTTAGTAGGTCTACACGTCGTGATCCAGATTAGTTAGGCCCTAATGCAGTTGTCGGATACTAGGCAGGAAACAAATACAAGTATGAATTTGACTAATCTATAGTCTACCAATATTAACTTGTAGTAGCTGGTAATAACTGTCTTGTTTCTCAGGCTACTAAACTTTTTTTGTTGTACTTAATTAAGTGCAATTATCTTACATCGCAACATTTTACGATATAAAAGTTAAACACAATTAGTATTAGCAGCAGAACATCTACTGGGGACCACAAATGGGGAATTCCAGAGCTATTATAAGTAGAGTGAGAGGATAGAGAATTAGAGCAAAGAGATGAGGTTGGTGAGCTAGAAAATTTCTATGGAGTAGTACTCCACATAACGAGCTGCATTAGGGCCAGCATGCGCGCAGTTTCTATTAGTCAAATATCTCTGAGTATTTTTCTTTAACAATTTCTGGTTTTAGTTGATTTTCTTTAAAAAATATAATTATCCACATTGCAAGTAAAGTTGAACTCAAATTTTAATGGGTTCAGAATATCCTAGCTAATCTATTGTTATACTTATAATACTTATTACTAACAATCTTTTTGTACATGTGTGTAGGATTCGAGCTTATATTGGGATAGTTGTTGTTGTGTAGGATCGAGCAATAAAGCAATGGTTTCAGTTGAACTCGTAGAATCAGTATATATCCACCTCTGATTGCAACTACGTACAACCCGGAGAATATGGAGGAAAGCAGCAAGGAGCAAAAGGGCGAAGAAACATCTGAAAAAGCTGTCGTCCAAAGCCATGATCTGAACAGAAAACCAAGGTTTAGGTGGACAGTGGAGGTCCATGATCACTTTGTTGAAGCAGTGAATGAATTAGGAGGTCCATTTGGTCTGTCTTACTATATATATGACGCGATGAACATAATATATTTGATATGCTTATTACAGTAGAAATAAACATAGATGTTTTAAATTTTTGAATGAGCAGAAGCAACTCCGAAGAATATAATGAAACTCATGGATGATGAAGATATCACTTCAGACCATATCAAAAGCCATCTCCAGGTACTCTAATATTGTCCTGTACTCCTGTTTATGCTTGTTTCTAAAAATTTTTTTTCTTCTTCTTTTCCTTCTTCATCTCATTTTTCCTCCCGCCGAGGGCCTACCGGAAACAGCCTCTCTACATTCACTGTAGGGGTAAGGTCTGCGTACACACTATCCTCCCAAGACCCTACTTGTGAGATTATACTGGGTTTTTTGTTGTTGTTATTGTTGTCTAAGTTAGTTTTGTTTATTTTTCTTGATTTAATCTTCGTTCAAGTGATGTAGTATTAATTAGACGGATTCTTACTTAGATCTAGATTTAAGTCTCGTAAGTAGGGGGACATAAAGCAGAGGCGGACCAAGGATTTTAAAGTATTGGGGGAACCAATATTTTGCTCATGAACCAGTAGTCCCTAAAGGCTTTTAGTGTATAGGGTGTCAAGTTATTTATATAATCATTTTCACGGTATACACGTACATATGCAAGATTTCTACCGAAGCTTGACGGGTCCGGTGACCTCTCAACACTACACATAGATCCGCCTCTGGACATAAGGCATTAGCTTCTCAAATCCTATAATGATACAAGTTTTTCAAGTTTTAACACTTGCATTTTTGTTATGATAATGTAAATTCAACACTTACTGATATTTGAGTTCATGCTGTTTTCAGAAGTACAGACAGAGTAAAGACATCATCAGCACCCCTAAAGCTAGTAAAGGCAAGTTTTTCAATATCTTATATAGTAGTAGTATAACTATATATGGACAGTATTGAATTCTTTTAGTGCATATATATAAAAAGGCACAACTAATTTTTAGATGTTCTGTCCTCCTTTTTTCTTTTGGATTTTGAGCAGTTAAGAGAAGTGAAAAGAATGAAGCTGCTGCACATATGTGGCATGATAAAGGGTAAGTTGGACCGCATGAGTTTATTAAATATGTGTTTATAATCTTAAAGCAATTAACGGCAATTCTAAAATATTATTTAACATAATATGGAGAGAAATGCAGATGATCAGAAAAACATTTAACACAGAGATCGATATGCAAGGAAGATCTAATATGTCACTTGAGGTTTGTACAATCTGTCGAATTTCGAATATTCATCCTTCAAAGTGTTGAAGTTATATACACCGACAATATAAAGATATTCATAGCGTATCATGTAGTTTAACATGTGATATCAGATAAGTAGTTGTTTTTTTTATTTACATATGATTATCTTTTTCTCACAATTCGGGCCTATAATAACAGGTAACAAATGAGGCTGAAGAAATTGTAAGACATGAAATGCAAGCTGATGCAAGTGCAAAGATTGAGCTTCAAACGAAAGAAGGAAGCAGCAAATTGAAAACTTATGCAGACCAATCAGAAGGGTCCAAGAAAATATCCAAGTTTTCGACTTCAGAAAAAGAAGAGTTGGACTTGAATGTTAGTCCAGTAGCAGATCCAGATCAAGAGTCCGGAAGATACTGTGATACAACCAAAATCAAGGGGATTTAAGAATGACTAAAGTTTAAAAAATGCCAAACGTAAAAACTTTTTAACCACAATAATTCCAACAAGGGCGAAACCGATCATTTAAAGTAACGATAATAATCCTCTCTGCAATATTCAGAAGGAGGAGTGAGACAAAGTACAGAAATCTTTGCTTAGGATGAATCTTGCTGCATCTTAGTAAAACTGAGATGTAATCATTTTAAAGTAAGCTTTCGCCATTTTAAACTCAAATGGAGTACTATATTTATTAAAATGATTACCTAATGCTAATAGCTAAAACACTTCCAATTTTTACCTCGTTATAATTATTTGTATCATTAAAGCCAATTTATTCTAGTATTATTATATTGTACCTACTCTTATTCAGTATCTAACTGAATTCTTATTAAGTTGATAATTAGTAAAAGCTCTCCAGTATATTTTTCATATATAGTCAAGTTCGACACATAGGATGAATTTGCTCCACCTCATGAGTTAGTACTTGGACAGTTAACCTTAGACATACTTCCTTGAATTAATTTGTTGGTAACTTGCTATATATACACGTCACAATCCATATGATACAAGTACTATAACCATTATCACATATAATCAAGAGTGGCAAACGGGCGGGTTGAGTCGGATATGGGCGAGTCAAAATGAGTAATGCAAAAACGGATAAATTATCCGATCCAACTACTCATATTTAATACGGATAAAAAACGAATTAACCGGCGGATAATTTGTGAACCTGCTCTTTAGGAGTTGATTTATGTGGAAGGTAATAACATATTAACAATTCAAAGTAAAGTTTTATAGATGAAAAAATAACAAAAAACATAAATGAAGTACGTCATCAAGCTAACGTTAATAAATATAAAGTAAAAAAAAAAAAAAAAAATCCTTTTTACATGCATGTATATCAATAGAAAGTATCTTAGAGGAAATGATTGTTGTATATGTGAAATTTTTCCTTAGTCGTATAACTGAAGATGGGGTTTAAAAAAAAACACGGGTTTAACTAATATTCATCTACCATGTAAAGAATACCATATCATTATAAGATGTTATAGCACGTAATCTGCTTTCTTTATAAAATTATAAATTTTAATTCTTTTACGGAGAATTACCTATAAATTTCTGTTGAGTGACCTTATAATATAAAAATTTTATAAACTAATTCATAAATTTCACCCATATGGGAACTGTATGTAGTTCCTATCTTGTGAATTCCATGTCTGGATTCCATGCCTTAACAATGAAAGGTTTGTTATCAAAGTGATAAATCTCCCTTGAATTACTTCATTCTTCCCCACACTTGTGTCAAACTTGATCGGAACAATTCCATTTTTGAGCATTGCCACCTTGTTTATCCCATGCTTTGCCCAAAGTCTTATAATGTATCCAATCAAACACAGAAAAGGGTGGGTGTAGGAGTGTGATTCTTTTATTCCTAATATTTTGCATCTTTTTTTTTTTTTTTATTTATTTATTTTTTTTTTTATTTTCTCCGGATCTACTAACGCATAGCAAACAACAGCATTCTGCCAATAAGCTAATTCAGGCTTATACCCTCTAATTCGATTTCACAAACTGGAACCTCTCCATGCAATTCTGGTTCAACAAATTCTAGTTTAAACCCAGCATCAGAGATTTTTGTAATATCAAAATTGTCCCATATGGATCCCCGCGTGTTCAATTCAGGTGAATTTTCAACCTCATTTGACCATGATAGAGTACGAGTACTTACGGATGATCGGCTTAAGGGGCGTGCAATTGCTCCTCCACTGTGTTGCTTTGGAGTTTTTTTTTTTTTTCTTTTTCTTCTTTTTAGGGATCAGATTAGTAAAATGAGAGCGCCCAAACTGTCGTAACAGGCTGAGCTGGACGCCCTTCTCGCATATTTAAATGCGAGCATTGACCACTCATCATATCCCCTTTAAACTTGCCTGAAGGATCATTGCTTTGGAGTTTCCTTCTGTCCTCGCGCCTGTTTCTCCTTCTGACATTGCTGATTCCCGGCTTGTGTTGACGCAATTTCATGGGTCTCGTCAACCTCTTCCTCATTCTGTTCCAATGTTTCAATGGCAACTGTTTCAGTTGTTGCTGATGCATCCTCCTTTGATACTTGCGTACCCTTCTTCCTTTGTTGATTCCCAACCTTCATTGCCACTTCCTGAGCCATTAGTGCCTTCTCAGAGGGAATACGAGCTTGGTGCAAGTTAGTTGACATGTGCCGAGAGAGAACATCCTCCGCTTCGTTTATCGCAAAAGGAAAAAAGATCGACACATGATATTTATTGACCTAAAGAAAATATATGATTAAGTGTCACTAAAGGTCCTTTAGTCGGTGATGGGGAAGAAAAGAATTCATATTAAATATATAAATGTCATAAATGACATATATGAATGAGCTGTCATTAACGTGAAAATAGTAGTGCGAGATGCAGATGAGTTTTCTATAACAGTGAGTTTACATAAGAGTTTGACATTAAGCTCCTACTTGTTTACCATAGTTATGGCAATAAGAGACAGTTTCTTGGTGTATGCTATTTGTTGTTAATATTGTATTAATTGACGAAACTAGTGAGGGTGTCAACCAAAAGCTTAAGCTATGGAGAAGCACTTTAGAGAAAAAAGACTTTAGGATAAGTAGGTTTCAGACTTAATAGATGTATTGCAAATTTAGTTAGCATGAGAAGAACGAAGTTGAGGTGAGACCAGATGGGATTGCAGTGCTAAAAGACAAACAATTTAAATATCTATACTCATTGTTCCAAGAGATGGGACGATAAATGAAGATGCTACCAATAGGATCAAAATCAGATGGTTGAAATGGAGAAATGCTACCGGATATTATGTGATAGAAGGATGCCAACCAAAGTGAAAGGTACGTTCTATAAAACAATAATAAGATCGACAATTTTATATGGCAGTGAATGTTGGGCTACTAAAGTCCAACGTAACCACAAGATGAATATTGCAGAAATGAAAATGCTAAGATGGATGTGTGTTCATACAAGATTAGATAAGATTAAAGTGACCATATTTGTAGGAAGATGCAAGAGCACACATTGAAGATAAAATAAGAGAAGGCCGCTTAAGATGATTTAGTCATGTCTTGCGTCGCCGTACAGATGCACCGGTCCGGAGGTATGAAACTATAGTGAGTAAAGGTGTTAAAAGGAGACGAGGTAGACCAAAAATCATATGGAAAGAATTATCTCGGAAGACGTACAAATCCTTGGAATCAATACATACTTAGCTAAATATAGGACACAATGGACAATAAAGATCCATATAGGTGACATTTACTAGTTTGGGATAAGATATGAATTTGTTAGAGAACTATATATATAAAATTTACTATTATTTTATTTTGGCATCATGATGATATAAGTTTAACTTAAAGAAAGATGTGAGGATTCATACTGTCGACTCAATTTTGTTTGGAATTGAGACGTAGTTATTATTATTGTTGTCGAAATATAGTTAAAATATTATCAATTTACCTTTTAAAATGACAATGTGTTTAGAAACTATATATAGCTAAGATCAATTTCTGCATCCAAGAAATATACCAAAAGCTAATTAAGCTACAGCTTTGTATGGTAGATAGTGGGCTCAATAATCTTTTATTTGGCCACAATATATATTTGTGATACAAAATGTAATCAATCGTTAATACCGATATTAAAAGGTCATAATTAACTACTAAGAAAGTGATGGTAGGGTATAATCTTGTATTTTAGTCGCGTATTGCACTCTAATTTACTGCACTATAATTGAGTTTGAGCTTTAATCGCTAGTGTTTCGCACTAATTGCACATTTTATGCCTTGTAGGAGTGATTCCGAGTGATGTAGAGGTTATGGAGCTAATTCGAATGATTTGGAGCTTTGAATTCTAAGTAAAAGCCGAAAGGATTAAATTAGAATTGCGTTCGAATGTCGAAAACTACGTATGTACAAGAAAAATAAAAGAAAAATAAGTTACATAAAAATGAAATAGTGCTGCCACGTTGGACAGGCCAATGTAAGTCACCTGGTGACTATGCAATTCAATGTTGTAGCAGAAGGAAACAAAACCAAATCCTTTGATGATGAGGCTTAATATCACATGCCTAATGACGTGAATGACTAGGAGTTGGACAAAATTCAATCAGGCAATAACTTTGCCATTTTTTTTGAAGAATCCTACTAACGCGACGCATTGTGCGACGAATATGCCTGCATCTTCAAGTGTTGAGTTCTCTGATAAAGTCCACTACTATACCGCGTGGCGCATCGCCCCATGCGGTGCGCCTGTGTAGGAAAAAGTTTTTTCGTCTGGGCCCGACCCTATTTGGTATAAATATATGTAAAAACTTATTTAGAGTAACTTTTGACAAACTTTTGGCCTAGGGAGAGCATAGAGTCGCCGTGGAGGCCGGGTTTCATCTTTTCTTCCACCAAACTTAGTAATTTTTATGTTTCTTTGAATGATTTGTTGTTTTGCTGCCATGTCTATATGGAACTAAACTTCACGTTCTAGGGTTGTGGTTCTTTCATGACTATTGTTATTCGAATATTGATTTTGATTTTTTAGTTTATTGTATTGGTTTATTTATTCAATCCTGCGCTTAATTATTTGATTGATTGATCACCAATTAAATACTATTTACGAATCTAGAATTGAAATCGAAAGTGGGAATTCTAGATTGCATATAGGATTGAGTAGAGCAAGTTCTTAAACCTGGGCATCGGGGAATGGATTCGCGGTTAGGATTGATATATACCTAATTGTCTTGCTTAGTTGGTTTATAGGAATTATAAATGCGTTCTTTTTAGTTCTAATTCCATAGACATATAGGTGTTAGGTTAGATTGAATATGCGAGTAAGAACTTGACAGATTCTTATGAGCAATATTAACTCTGTGTGACGACCCGGCCCGTCGTCACGTGAGTTACCGCCCCGTTTCCCCTATATTATGTTTCTCTACGTTTCAGTATCGGTATTTGAGGTGATCGGGTAGAATTGGATTGGTTTTAGTTGGAAATGAGGCACTTAGCCTCTTAGAAGGAAGCTTGTTTTGGAAAAGTCAACCGGAAGTTGACTATATAGTTAGAGGGCTCGGATGTGAATTCCGGTGATTTGGTTAGCTTCGGGGGATGATTTGTGACTTAGGAGTGCGATCGGAATTGAATTTGGAGGTCCGGTGTGGAATTAGGCTTGAATTGGCGAAGGTTGAATTTTGGCGAATTCCGGTTGGTAGGTGAGATTTTGATCCGGGGGTCGGAATGGAATTCCGAGAGTTGCAGTAGCTTCGTTAGGTGATTTTGGATGTGCGGGTAAAATTTCAGGTCATTTGGACGTCGTTTGGTTGGGTTTTTG